GGACGGAAGCCGGACTGTAGGGGATTGAGGAGGTTGTTGTCGTTGAGGTGAGAGCTTAGGCGGGTGTAGACTAGGTGCTAGAGGAGTTTGGATGTAATTGGGAGCAGGGAGATGGGTCTGAGGTTGTTCGGGTCATTGGGGTCCAGGGAGGGCTTTTTAAGTATGGGGGTGATGTGTGCATGTTTCAGAGGGGAGGGGAAAGTGCCGGAGGAGAGGGAGAGATTAAAGATGTGGGTGAGGGAGCGTAGGATGGAGGGGGGAGGGAGGTCGTAGGAGGAACATTATCAAGGAACATATGGTGATGCACTATGGGCTTATGTAGATGCTGCTTTTGGAGCATTTCATGGCAATGCTACTGGCTCTGGTCGTGTACAAACCACATCTACCTTTGGCACCCTTAGAAAACAAGAAGTTGACATGCACCATCTCATGAAAAATGTGGTTTGTACACGGCCCATAGTGCATCACCATATGTTCCTTGATATTTCACAAATTCAGACTCAACTACCACCCACACACTTCCAGCCTTACTGGCTCTGTTCATGTACAAGAAGTTGACATGCACCATCTCATGAAAGATGTACTTAACAGGTATTTGTAACAGAAAATGAAAACATTACAAAAGATGAAAATACAGTATTGGAAATACCTGCCCCTACTGCCATTGCTTATGCAGTTGTGGAATTATTTGTGAAATATGATGGCCACTTTGCTATCTTCCCCAGGACAAGGGATACCCGCTCCACTGGTACATAGAGGATGCTGGAGGATTAACCCCTAAACTGCTTCTCTGCTCCTGCACCCGGATGTGACAGACTGTAACCAATGCCTGCTTACATCTAATTTCTGGTGAGTGTACACCCATCAGAGGTGGTGGATTCCCTCTGTGGATATACACACATCTGCACTTTTTTCACTTGGATGTTTTGCGATTTAACCTGAGAACTATCACTGGTCATTTTTGCTATTGATGAGATTTGAGATATATACGGACATTTATTTATTCACTTTTATACACAATTGCACTGAATAGCACTTTAATAGTCTGCATTGATCATTTATATTATTTATACGTTTATAGCGCTGCACTTTATTTATTTACTTATTTCCATTGGGATCGTTACCTATGTCCTGAGGTGCTAGCAGCTGCCTGTATACACTTATATACATTTGCGCTCGCTTATTGTTTTGGGGAAGGATCACAGTTGACTTAAATTTTGTTCTCAAAAAAGTTATACAAGATGGGCCAAGTCATAAAAGATGGGCCAAGTCACACAAGATGGGCCAAGTCACACGAGATGGGCCAAGTCACACGAGATGGGCCAAGTCATAAGAGATGGGCCAAGTCACACGAGATGGGCCAAGTCACACGAGATGGGCCAAGTCACACGAGATGGGCCAAGTCACACGAGATGGGCCAAGTCACACAAGATGGGCCAAGTCACACGAGATGGGCAAGTCACACAAGATGGGCCAAGTCACACAAGATGGGCCAAGTCACACATGATGGGCCAAGTCACACAAGATGGGCCAAGTCACACAAGATGGGCCAAGTCACACAAGATGGGCCAAGTCATACAAGATGGGCCAAGTCACACAAGATGGGCCAAGTCACACAAGATGGGCCAAGTCATACAAGATGGGCCAAGTCACACAAGATGGGCCAAGTCACACAAGATGGGCCAAGTCATACAAGATGGGCCAAGTCACACAAGATGGGCTTTATCAATTTAACTTTCAACTGGTGCATAAAAATACACAGAGAGACACATGAACAGTATTACAGTTTTCCTTTTTATTAATGGATTTTCGAGCTCCCCTTTAAACCTAATATTTGAGCAGACAAATATCTGACATCAAAAAAGGGAAAAACCTAAAACACATTCACTATCAGTGAGACCGTAGCCAATATGAGAAGCGTTAAGACAGAATATAATGCTGTGCTGGCACCACATGTAGCTTCTAATGTTACAGTATAAACACCAAAATCCTGCTTCCAGGTTCCCAGGTCACAGAAACTTTTTGAGGCACAACCACGGATAGATAGTTCCTTACCGTATTGTCCAGCTGAAATATAAAAGATTAAAAATAGATCTAAAGCAGTACAAAAAAATCTGAGGTACATAAGGAGCCTCTGTATATTAAAAAGAATCCTTACTCAGAGAGGCAGAGAGGAGAGGGAGGTGGATATTATAAAAAGAAAGGGAGACAAACTTGGAGAGGAGAAGAAGGAGAAAGAATGGGTGGGTGAAGAAGAGACAGAGATGGGGTAAGGAAGGGTTAGAGAGAAGGAGAAAGGAAAGGAGAAATAAGTAGAAGGAAAGGGAGAGAGGAGAGGGGGTATTGGGTAGAGAGAAAGAAGTGGGAGGGGGTGAAAAAGAAAGGAAGACAGAGAAAGAATATCAGGGCCCGAATCACTTGCTGGTGGAACTAGCGGGAGGTTGAAGTTCCAGTGCCCACCAGCGGGTGTCTCTAAGCAACCAGCAGTTTCTAGTATTTAGTATCTGATGCTGGCTGCTGGGCAGGTATATAGTTCCTCCTCTGTCATTACACGTTATGTCAGTGTTTTGCCTTGCTTACTGTCAAATACTGTATGCCATTTTTATCCTGCTCCTGATCTTGATCTTGCTCATGCCTTGCATCCTGTACCCTTTGCAGGGGCTGACTGACAACTCATGGGGCCCCCGGGCAATAGGGGATCATGGGGCCCCTGTGTTCTTGCCCAAACTCAAAAAAGCCTATGAAAAAGGTACCAGGGGCATCTCATGGGGTCCTGACGAAGCTGAGTGAGATACGCCCATCGGCGAAACGCGTTGACGTCATACGTCAGATACGTCACTTCCGGTCATGTGCACTAGGTGGAACGCACGCTGACCCATAAGGAGGAAGCCATCTTCACAAGCCATGAGGCAAGCTTAAGCAGCACAAGCGCCGAGAAGGGGCTGGAACCCGCGGTATATCGGCGGATGTCAGCGGTGGTTCCTTGGCCGCCTTGGCCCTGTATGGTAGTACCTATGAAGGACTTCCCTTTCATTCCTGTTATCCATAGCACAGGTGGTGAGTGGATCGTTACAGGACATTAGATATATGGTCCTCTGTGATCTATATGACCTATATATCTTCCATAGAGTGTTAGCTCTGTCAGTGACTTCCCACATATTGTTTGTTTCACTACAGGATGGGGACATCATGGTGCCTTGTATAGGAAACAAGATATACCACCATATATATTTCAACAGGCAGAAGAGTCTTTGGGATGTGTCTTGTTTTTTCCTACAAAAGTGGTGTATAGTCCACATATAGTGGTGAAGAAACCATTTCAAGCAGAATGCTGCTGTGTGCATCTTTTTCCTCCATCCTGGAAATAAATGGGGCTTATTCCCATCCAAGAGCTCTAGGAAACAGCCATCTATATTACAGATGAATGGGCCCCAACCACTTGTGCCGGCACAGGAATGTATTGTATAAAATATTTGACATTTATGTCTTCCTTCATACAGGCCTGAGGCCTGCTACTCTCCTTTTTGACGCATATTGTGCTTGCTCTATTGCATACATGTGATATACACATTTATAGCATAATTTTTGGATTCCTTGATAGGGATTTGCCATTATGGCTACTGCTTAATCCCTTATATCCTCTATTATGGTATGCCCTTGGCATAATTTTTGGATACACCTCCCTAGGGAAGTGTTCACCTGTGTGTTTGTGCTACAGGGACACTAGACTCATGTAGCCATTTTCCCTGCTGCACATACATTTAGACCGGTTCTGGTGTCATTTTAAATGGTTTTAGGTCTGTGTGTATTGTCTCATACTGAGGTGATGGTAAACCAGGGCGAATGCCCATATGTCATATTTATATATGTGTAATAAAGCATAATTTTTGGAAATTATTTCCTAAGTGTCACGTTCTGTTCATTATGTAGCCGTTTTTCTGTGAATCTCTTTTCACAACCTTCCTTTTTTGTATGCATCTCATGGGGCCCCCTACTGACCCCGGGCCCTCGGGCAGTGCCCGATTATCCAAATGGTCAGTCCGCCCCTGACCCTTTACCTCTTGTCTGTTTCCCTTGTTCCTGATCCCAGTCCTGGTTCCTCGTTCCCTGCATCTCTAATACCTACCTTGTTTATCTACCTGGTATGTCCATGTTCCTCATTTTGTACATATTGTACAGTATCTCCCAGAAATGAGTCCACCCCTCACATTTTTGTAAACACAGAACTCTGTGTGTGATTGGACACAGCCGATCAGCTGATCATTGGCTGAAATCAGCTGCCAAACTCGTGTTGTTTCATGTATGTGTTTGTGCCTGTACCTGCCTTCCGCTCGCAGTATATTTACTGTGAGCGGTCAGCAGGTGGTTAAATGAAGTTTATTTACAGAGAAACAAAATCCATCAGCAAACAGCAAAACAACGTGGACAAAATGCAGTGAGAGAATGCCTGACTAATAAAACGAACTACAGTATATACCAGTGATGGCGAACCTATGGCACGCAGAGCCATCTCAGTGGGCACGCCAGGAAGAAGAGGAAGAACGCGCGCTCTCCTGCGCACCCCCGAGGGCGCGCACCGGGCGATCTCCGTGATCGCTGTGTCCTACGGTCACAGCTGATCACGTGACGTGGTAAAAGGCCAATCACAGCGGCCTTTTACCACGTGATCAGCCGTGTCCAATGACACGCTGATCACCGGGAAATGCAAATGCCGGTTCTCGGCTGTACTTTCCTCACGCTGTCAGATCGTGAGGAAAGTACTGCCGAAAACCGGCAGTTGTCAGAGCGAGGATCGGCACCGATCATCAGGGTCACTGATCATCAGTGCCCTGATGATCGGTGCCCAGCAGTCCCACACACAAGTTCCGCCCACCTGTGCCCAGCAGTGCGCCCACCTGTACCCAGCAATGCACCCACCTGTGCCCACCTGTGCCGCCCACCTGTGCCCAGAAGTGCCACCTACCTGTGCCCAGTAGTGCCACCCACCTGTGCCAACCCACCTGTGCCCACCAGTGCCACCCTCCTGTGCCCACCAGTGCCACCCATCAGTGCAGCCCAGCAGTGCTGCCAGTCAGTGCCACCAGTCAGTGCCCAGCGGTTGTGCCAGTCAGTGCCCAGCAGTGCCACCAGTCAGTGCCCAGCAGTGATGTCAGTCAGTGCCACCTATCAGTGCTGTCTATCAGTACCCATTATCAGTGTCGCCTATCAGTGCCACCAATCAGTGCCACCTATCTGTGACACCTCATTAGTGCTGCTCATCAGTGCCACCCATCAATGATGCCCAGCAGTGCCGCCGGTCAGTGCCGTCTGTCAGTGCCTCCAGTTGGTGCTATCAGTCAGTGCCGCTTATAAGTGCCCATCATTTCCTGCATATCAGTGCATCATCAGAGCCTCCTCATCAATGCTCACCAGTGCCGCCTCATCAGTGCTACCTATCTGTGCCGCCTCATCAATGCCCATCAGTGCTGCCTATCAGTGCAGCCTCACCAACGCACATCAAAGAAGAAATATTACCTGTTTGCAAAATTTTAGAATAGAAACAAAGGAAACCTTTTATGTTTTTAATTTTTTGCTCTTTTTTCATTTATAGTGCAAAAAATAAAACACCCAGTGGTGATTAAATACCACCAAAAAAAGCTCTATTTGTGTGAAAAAATGATAAAAATTGCATATGGTTACAGTGTTGCATGACCGCACAATTGTCATTGTTAAGAGCAACAGCACTTGAAGCTGAAAATTGTCCTGGGCAGGAAGGGGGTAGAAGTGCCCGGTAGGCAAGTGATTAATTCCAGTGTTGGCACTTTGAAATAAAAAAGTTGGTTTTGTGTTGCAGTTTGGGCACTCGGGCTCAAAAAAGGTTCGCCATCACTGGTATATACAGTATCTCCCAGAAGTGAGTCCCCCCTCACATTTTTGTCCATATTTGATTCTCTCTTTTCATGTGACAACAATGAAGAAATGACACTTTCCTACAATGCACCGGAACGCACCGGAACTGCAAGCACTGATGTGAACTATGACATTGACAACCATATAACCTTCCCTCTGTGCATTTTGGATGCAGAAAAAAAGCAGCTGAAACGCATGGAGTGTACACTGGCCCTAAAAGAATTCGAAAAATGTAAAATTATTCTTACCTGCTGCTTCTCTATTGTATAATGCACATATAGTCTCATCCCCTGTGCAGATCATGTTCCCAGTGGCTACGCAGTTTAACCTGTCTCCGGACACACAGTATGGGCAACTTTTACCATTCTCTTTGTTGTTCGAAGGTGGTACTAAATTAAGAAAAAGAACATTAACATATATCCAAACCCAATCACGAATATCTCATACAATCTTTAACTATAACTTTCACAGAAAACCAATTAATATATATTGATTTGGGTTATTTTGACCAAAGAAATGTAGCAGAATACATTTCAGCCTAAATTTATGAAGAAAGATTATTTGTTTGCAAAATCTTATAAAAGAAATCCTTTTTTCCCCAAATGTTCTGTAATTTTTCTTTATATAATAAAAACAAACTATGGTGATTAATTACCACCAAAAGAAAGCTCTATTTGTGTGAAAAAAAATTATACATATTTCCTTTGGGTACGGTGTTGGATGACCGAACAATTTTCAGTTAGAGTAGCACAGCGCAGCAATCATGTAGGGTGTAAAACTTTCTGGAATTCAAGTGGTTAATACCACTTTGAGGAAATCTGTCATTAAAGTGTTAGTAAACCCAGGACCCTGCATTCACTATATCTGGTCTCCCCGGACCCTGCATTCACTATATCTGGTCTCCCCGGACCCTGCATTCACTATATCTGATCTCCTCGATACCTGCATTGACTATATCCGGTCTCCCCAGACCCTGCATTCACTATATCCGCTCTCCCCGGACTCTGCATTCATTATATCTGGTCACCCTGGACTCTGCATTCATTATATCTGGTCTCCCCGGATCCTACATTCACTATATCCGCTCTCCCCGGACCCTGCATTCACTATATCTGCTCTCCCAGGACCCTGCATTCACTATATCCAGTCTCCCCGGACCCTGCATTCACTATATCTGGTCTCCCCAGACCCTGCATTCACTATATCTGCTCTCCCAGGACCCTGCATTCACTATATCCAGTCTCCCCGCACCCTGCATTCACTATATCTGGTCTCCCTGGACCCTGCATTCACTATATCCGGTCTCCCCGGACCCTGCATTCACTATATCTGCTCTCCCTGGACCCCGCATTCACTATATCTGGTCTCCCCAGACCCCGCATTCACTATATCCGCTCTCCCCGGACCCCTCATTCACTATATCTGGTCTCCCCAGACCCTGCATTCACTATATCCGCTCTCCCCCCCGGACCCCTCATTCACTATATCCGCTCTCCCCGAACCCTGCGTTCACTATATCTGGTCTCCCCAGACCCTGCATTCACTATATCTGGTCTCCCCAGACCCTGCATTCACTATATCTGGTCTCCCATAGTACATAGAACTGTGAATGTAAACTGCTAAATACCTTTTCTCATCAGCAGTATATAGCAGTCTTGTGACTTCTATCAGTGTCCAGCAGAGCACTGGTTACAGCTTGTAGGAGGAGTTTTCATTCTGCTCTGACTTTCATATGAGGCTGCATAACCCCTGACCCTCTGGCTGGATGGTGCTGATTGGCCCTGTGCTATAATCACATGCACCCTCCTGAAGAGAAAAAAACTCTCTAGCCCTACACACTTAATTGAGCATGTGCAGAGTGACTTCTAAAGCTCTGTACTATTAGCAGATGGATTGGGGACAGTAGAAGAAGACAGGATCAAACAGCCTTTTTACACAATGCAGAGGATTAACCCCTTAGGTTCCACAGTGAGTATAACAAGCATGCTTTACTGCATATACAGACTGATTGTACTGTTATTATTAACTCTTTAAATAAATATGGAGGGTGCTATTGCTGACCTCTCCTTCTCAAAGTATTAGTTGTCCTGCTGTCCAGCCAGGAATCAAGCAATGGCAGCCCCATATTTTCTTTGATATTCCTGCACCAGTAAGAGATGCAGGGGTAACTACATGACATGCTCCACACCAGTCATTCACCAGTCATACACCAATCATACATTAGTCATTCACCAGTCATACACCAGTCATTCACCAGTCATACACCAGTCATACACCAGTCATACACTAGTCATTCACCAGTCATACACCAGTCATTCACCAGTCATACACCAGTCATACACTAGTCATTCACCAGTCATACACCAGTCATTCACCAGTCATACACCAGTCATTCATTCACCAGTCATACACCAGTCATTCACCAGTCATATACTAATCATCATACACCAGTCGTACACCAGTCATACACCAGTCATTCACCAGTCGTACACCAGTTATACACCAGTCATACACCAGTTATACACCAGTCATACACCAGTCATACACTAATCATCATACACAGTCGTACACCAGTCATACACCAGTCATACACCAGTCATTCACCAGTCGTACACCAATCATACACCAGTCATACACTAATCATCATACACTAGTCGTACACCAGTCATTCACCAGTCGTACACCAGTCATACACCAGTCATAACTAATCATCATACACTAGTCGTACACCAGTCATTCACCAGTCGTACACCAGTTGTACACCAGTCATACACCGGTCGTACACCAGTCATACACCAGTCATTCACCAGTCATTCACCAGTCATACACCAGTCATACACCAGTCATACTTTAGGTAGGTGGCATCAGTGTTGCTACATACAAGAAGGAGTGTGCGGTGTGCAGTCGTCGAATTCACAGCATGTGCTACTATATCTGATTTTCATGGATTGGGCAGCAAACGATCCAGATTTTCCACAAAGACTCTTATCAGCACAACCTCTGTAAAGATTAATATTTTCTTCCGATCCTGTAAAAAATGCAACAAAAAAAAAATGAGAATACTAGTCAGTACCAGAATTGAGCAAAGTTGTGTTTGCTTTGGAAGAAGAATTCACCTCTAACATTGGGTGTTGTACATGTGTGAATGTTGCTGCCGTCTGTAAAACTATTCATTTTTTTACATTATAGGGTGCAGAAATTTAAAGGGGGTCTAGACTGAAAAAAGCTTGAGAGAGATTGGATTAGACCAGTGATCTCCAAACTGTGACCCAGGGGCTGGAAGCTCGGTCCTTGGGGCACTCTCCTCTCACTGATATGAGGCACTTTACTTCCCACTGACACCAACAATGGGGCGCTAATCCTCCCACTGACACCAACAATGGGGCGCTAATCCTCCCTCTGACACCAACAATGGGGCACTAATCCTCCCTCTGACACCAACAATGGGGTGCTAATCCTCCCACTGACACCAACAATGGGGCGCTAATCCTCCCACTGACACCAACAATGGGGCGCTAATCCTCCCACTGACACCAACAATGGGGCACTAATCCTCCCACTGACACCAACAATGGGGCACTAATCCTCCCACTGGCACCAACAATGTGGCTCTATTACTCCCAATAATATGAGACACTCTGCAAATTGACACCCAAAAATTGGGGCATCCCTTCTCCCACTGGCACCAACAATGGGGCTCTATTACTCCCAATAATATGATACAGCACTCTGCCAATTGACACCAAAATTGGGGCACCACTTGGGGAACTATTTCTCTCCCATTGATACCAGCGATGGGGCACTATTTCTCACCCTAATACCAAAGATGGGACATTGTTTACTCCCACTGATGCCAGGACATATTCTACTCCCACTGGCCACAATCCAGCCCCCCTGAAGTTGGAAGGACAGTAAATTGAACCTTTGTTTAGAAAGTTTGGAGACCCCTGAACCAGACCATCAAACAATCTGTAACACAGAATGATACCTCTCTAGCACACCCTGCTGGAGAAAGCATAACCAGCATGTGACTTAGAAAATACACACCTTGGCTAGAGAATATCTCCTGTTGAAGAGACAGACTGACTACAGCTCACTACTGGCTACGAAACCCAAACAAAGAAATGAAGCAAAAATGCTCCATGATGACACTGTTATTGCTGATTTTGATGGATGCTGGTGAGCCACCCACTGGCTTTTTGCTTGCTTTTAGCTGTATGAGGGCCAAAAGACATAGCTGTCAAATCACAAGCATCAACCAGCTGAAAATGTCTGTTGTATGTGGGATAAGCCTCTAAAGTGGACCTTTCAGTATTCTAACTCAAAGAATGAATAACACCTCATGATATACAGTCAAGAGTACAATCTTTTTAAAAAAAAGTAATTTTTTATCATTAAAACTCATCCCTAAACTCAAAAATAACAAACGTGACATTTACCTGCTGTGTGCAGTGGTTTTGCAGAGAGCAACCAGATCCTCCTCTTCTCGGGTCCCCCGCAGACTCTACTAGCTCCTTCTGTCTGTAGGGTGCCCCCACAGCAAGCATCTTGCTATGGGGGCACCCACTGCTCCATGTGTCCATTCATTCGTCTTGGCCCCACCTCCTCTCATTGGCTGACTCACTGTGATTGACAGCAGCAGAAGTCAATGGCTCCCCCTTTCTGTCTCAGCCAATGAGGAGGCAGAGACCCTGGGCAGCCAAGGCTGTCATTCACATCGCTGGATCTAAATGAGGCTTAGGTGAGTATTGAGGGGGCTGGGGACACTGCTGCACACAGAAGGTTTTTTTTTACCTTCATATATAGAATACAAAACCTTCAGCCTTTACTATCGCTTTAATGCAAAAAGAATTGGCTGATTTTTTTAGAATATTCACGCTACGCTCACTAGAGTAAAAACAAATTGATTTGAATCAATTAGGATCATTTGTTATGTTGTTATGTTATTTTGGATGTTTGAAACATTAATAAAAGGCCCAAACTATCGCATCCTGTCATCTGAATGGCTACAAATTAATTTGTTGTATTCATTATAATTAATTTCAGATTCATTGAAACTTGTTACTGTTGTGATTCGGAGATTCACATAGGGTGTGCTGGATGTGCCTGGACACACCCTAATCACCCCATGCAATATTGCTGTGTGGGGGATGGGAAAGATCTCCCACTGAGTGACTCTGCTTATAAGGGAAGTATGGAAGTATTTCTCCTTCATTCTGAATCTGCAGGCGAGTAACGTGCCGGCGGGTAGAATGCTGCAAGGAAGATTGTGTATATATATATATATATATATATATATATATATATATACACATATATATATACACATACATACATACATACACATACACACAAATATTCCATATATAGCAGGCCCGGACTGGCCATAGGACACACCGGGCATTTGTCCGGTGGGCCAGGGCCGTGTGTCCTAGGAAGTGAGGCCTGTGGTTGACCAGGTCGCACAGCGGGAGGTAATTGGCAACCGCATTCTGGACAGGGTTAACACAGACCGCAGCCACTGCTTGCCTCCCGCTTTGCGGCCGTGCCCACAGCAGGGCCGGTTTCGGCAAACTAGGGGGTGCAGAAGAGGACCTGCTAGCAGGGGACACACCTCCCAGGCCGGCCGCTGGGAATACACTGCACTGACCATGGCGGGATCTCTCCTAACCATGACACTGGGGAGGAAGGTGAGTGCAGTGCAGCCACACTGCCCCCTCTATAGCAGCGGTGTGTGTAGGGGGGGGGTTGGGGTGAATTGGGCTGTCACTTTGCTGGACAGGCTGTCTCTTTACTGGATTGAGCTGTCTCCTTGCTGGACGGGCTGTCTCTTTGCTTGTTGAGCTGTCTCTTTACTGGATGGGCTGTCTCTTTACTGGATTGGCTGCCTCCTTGCTGGACGGGCTGTCTCCTTGCTGGATTGGGCTGTCTCCTTGCTGGATTGGGCTGTCTCTTTGCTGGATTGCGCCGTCTCCTTGCTGCATGGGCTGTCTCTTTGCTGGACAGGTTGTCTCTTTGCTGGACGGCTGTCTCTTTGCTGACGGGCTGTCTCTTTGCTGGATGGGCTGCCTCTTTGCTGGACGGGCTGCCTCTTTGCTGGACGGGCTGCCTCTTTGCTGGATGGGCTGCCTCTGTGCTAGACGGGCTGCCTCTTTGCTGGATGGGCTGCCACTTTGCTGAATGGGATTTTTCTTTGCTGGACTGGACTGTCACTTTGCTGGACGAGCTGTCTCTTTGCTGGACTGGGCTGTGTCTTTGCTGGATGGGCTGACTCTTTACTGGTTGAGCTGTCTTCTTACTGGATGGACTGTCTCTTTGCTGTCTCCTTGCTGGATGGGCTGTCTCTTTGCTTGACTTGGCTGTCTCTTTGCTGTTTGAGCTGTCTCCTTGCTGGATGGGCTGTCTCTTTGCTGGACGGGCTGTCTCTTTGCTGGACGGGCTGTCTCTTTGCTGGACGGGCTGCCTCTCTGCTGGACGGGCTGCCTCTTTGTTGAATGGGATGTTTCTTTGCTGGACTGGACTGTCACTTTGCTGGATGAGCTGTCTCTTTGCTGGACGGGCTGCCTCTTTGCTGGATGGGCTGCCTCTTTGCTAGACGGGCTGCCTCTTTGCTGGATGGGCTGCCACTTTGCAGAATGGGATGTTTATTTGCTGGACTGGACTGTCACTTTGCTGGACGAGCTGTCTCTTTGCTGGACTGGGCTGTGTCTTTGCTGGATGGGCTGTCTCTTTACTTGTTGAGCTGTCTTCTTACTGGATGGACTGTCTCTTTGCTGTCTCCTTGCTGGATGGGCTGTCTCTTTGCTTGATTTGGCTGTCTCTTTGCTGTTTGAGCTGTCTCCTTGCTGGATGGGCTGTCTCTTTGCTGGATGGGCTGTCTCTTTGCTGGACGGGCTGTCTCTTTGCTGGACGGGCTGCCTCTTTGCTGGACAGGCTGCCTCTTTGTTGAATGGGATGTTTCTTTGCTGGACGGACTGTCACTTTGCTGGATGAGCTGTCTCTTTGCTGGACTGGGCTGTGTCTTTGCTGGACAGGCTGTCTCTTTACTGGTTGAGCTTTCTCCTTACTGGATGGACTGTCTCTTTTCTGTCTCCTTGCTGGATGGGCTGTCTCTTTGCTGGATTTGGCTGTCTCTTTGCTGGTTGAGCTGTCTCCTTGCTGGATGGGCTGTCTCTTTACTGGAGGGGCTGTCTCTTTACCTGGATGAATGTCTCTTTGCTGAACAGGATGTCTTTTTGCTGGACAGGGCTGTCTCTTTGCTGGACAGGGATGTCTCTTTTCTGGATGGGGATGTCCCTTTGTTGGATGGGGATGTCCCTTTGCTCAGTTGGGTCCAGCAAAGAGACATCCCAATCCAGCAATGAGACAGCCCAGTCAAAGAAGGGACATCCGCATCCAGCAAAGAGATATCCCTGTCCAGCAAAGAGACATCCCATCTCTTTGTGGATTGGGATGTCTCTTTGTGGTTTGAAATGTCTCTTTGCTGATTGGGACATCTTTGTCTCTTTGCTGGATTGGGATGTATCTTTGCTATATGGGGATGTCTCTTTGCTGGATGGGGTTGTCTCTTTGCTGAATTGGGATGTCTTTTTGCTGGATTGGGCCATCTCTTTGAATATATAGGGGGCACTGTGATTAGATCTCTAGGGGCACTGTGCGAAGGATCGACTCCTTCCGTCACCAACTGCCCCTATCAAATGCCCTTGCACCGCCCCCCCCCCCCCATCCTGGGAAATTGGCTGCTCAATCTAAAATGCCCAGGCCTATTTTTGTCCCAGTCCGAGCCTGCTATATAGTATACATATACAGGATCTGTGGCTGCGCACACCTATGATCAGTACACATATATCTGTACAAAGCTGTCAGGGGTTCAAACCTTCACTTACTCTACTAACATAAGTCATTTGTATTTCTTTTGGGTAGTATCCTTCCCTTCTTGTCTGGTGAAACCATTATCAGTGGGGCTGCAAGTGAGGGGAAATCTCTCTAATGGAGAATTAAAAAAAAGTGCCAGGGGATCTAATCTTTCAAGCACACACATTTCTCAGTATCATGAACATCACACCCCTACCTGCATGCTACAGAGAAGGACCCTTGCTCTTTGTGAGGAAGCAGTGGTCTCTCTGCAGAAGTCTTTCATGACCCCATACTAAGGGAGAGCTAGAGCTCTACACTCAAAAAAAAAAAAAAAAACAGCTTAGCTATGTTCTATAGATATGACTCAGAAGCAGGGGCGGACTGACCATTTGGAAACTCGGGCACTGCCCTAGGGCCCGGGGTCAGTAGGGGGCCCCATGAGATGCCCCAGGTACCTTTTTCATAGGCTTTTTTGAGTTTGGGCAAGGACACAGGGGCCCCATGATCCCCTATTGCCTGGGGGCCCCATGAGTTGTCAGTCCGCCCCTGCTCAGAAGGGGGTGTGCCGGACCTCTGTACAGAGACCACTGCTTCCACCCAGAAAGCAATGGTCTTTTTCTGCAGCATGCTGGCAGTGAACAGGCTTTTCTGCACAGGCTGTTGCCACTTTCTGAAGACAAACAACTGTAAGACATTGAACTCCATTTGTTTTTTGATGCAAATGGAATATATTTCGCTGATTTAAACAGATTTAGCAAGTTCAGTGGGGCTAAAGGTTTTTTTTTTTATGAAGCAGGATTTTCCTCCAATCCTTTTTCCATGAACCTTACCTTCATCGCTAGTGTAGGCTACAGATATGCAGGCAAGCTTTGAAGAGCAGAATACGGTCTGATCAGTGCAAGCGGAATCTTGGTGCGGACACTCTATGCAGCGGAGGGCATATCCTGCAAGGAGAGAAGATGCATTGGTACTGATATGCAGATGATTAACCCTTTCATGATCAGAGGTCTTTGAAGCCTTGATGTCCAGAGCAAATTTAGTCGCATCGTTTAATTGTAACTTACCTCCACCCCCCCCCACAAAAAAATATATATATATATATATATATATATATATATATATTACACCTTATGCATAGTATGTTCTTTTAACTTCTATCTTTCCAGAACCTAATAAAACGTTTTGTAAAAATAACAAGCTTTCCCCAGAACTGGCTCTCCTAATTTTCCCAGGCTTCCCATTGGTGGCTAAAAAAGGGACCACTACGCTTCTACTCAGATGCCGGAACACCAAGGTTGCCCCTACCATGATAGAATGGGTTAGCTGAATTGAATCGCTAAATCAGAATGGAGGAACTTACAGCAAACTTGAGGGAACGCTATTTTTTTTTAACCACTTCCAGTCCGGACACTTTCACCCCCTTCCTGTCCAGGCCGATTTTCAGCTTTCAGTGCTATCACACTTTGAATGACAATTGCGCGGTCATGCAACACTGTACCCATATGAATTTTTTAGCATTTTTTTGAGACAGATAAAGCTTTATTTTGGTGGTATTTATCACCACTGGGATTTTAATTTTTTTTTGCTATGTAAATGAAAAGTCCAAAAATTTTGAAAAAAAAGTGTTTTCTTCTTATAAATTTTTTTCAAATAAATAATATTTCATCATAAATCTTGGCCAAAATTTATTCCATTATCTTTTTAGTAAAAAAAAAAAATAACCCAAATTAGTTTATAACCAAAAATTATAATTTTTAAAAATTTTCTTTTTACATTTTTATTTTTTTTTTATATTATCATTTATGTTTTTTTTGTTTTTTTTTACATACTGTCACCCTAGCAGTACTACTTGTGAGGGGTGATGAAGATTTTTTTTTTTTTTTTTTTACACTGATTGCTTTTACACCTGCTGTTCTTCTCAGGTGTTATCTCCTTGAAACAGTTTAATAAAAATCTAGGCTCCATGCACACTAGTTGGTTTATTTTTTTAAGCTCAGAAAGCGCTGGACAAAACGCTGGTAATAGCGATTTTTAGGAGCATTTTAGGAGCATTTAGAAGCCTTTCGGAGCATTTAGGTACATTAGGCTCCATGCACACATTTTTTCATCCAGATTTTTTTTCTAGCGTTTTTTTTGAGCTTATAACCATGCGGAAAAACCCTGATAATAGCGTTTTTGTGCCGGCTTGTAGCAGCGTTTAGAAGTGATTAGGAGCTTTAGCATTTTATTAGCATTTGTACAGTACATGTAGAAAAAAAAGCTGTTAGGAACGTTGAGAGTTTTTATTTGCCAGAAAAATGATCCATTAAAAACTCTACAAAAACCTTTTTTTCTGCTTCTAAACGCTGAAGCTTTAAAAACGCTACCAGCCTAAAATAAAGTGCATGGGCACATAGGATAACACGATTTAGCTTCTGGGCAGCACTTACACCTAGATTGGATCTACCCTGGATACCTGGAGAGTAGCAGCCGGATGATCAACTGATGTGCAGACATATGCCAGATGATCCCCGAGGTTACCCTTAGGATGCTGATGACCAGGAGTGATTTATTTACTCAAATGCGCTTTTAATTGCGCTTTCTGACGTCCTTACCCTTCTGAAAAAGTCATAGGAAGTGACGAAACGCGTCAGAGACACGTGACGTCAGACGTATCGACGTTGACCGGAAGTGCGATCGTGGCCATCTTGGAAGTGGGAACGTGTGGCCAATGTTTCCCTGAATCTGTCCACATTTGTATCCCTGTGAGGAGGAGCTGTTTTCACCCAGATTTTATGTGAGTTACCAATAAAGGAGGATATGTTACATATTATCTGTGACTGTGGATTTTCTTGAGAATGGAAGAAAAAAACCCTAGCATCGGACAAAATCGTTTTGAGGAGAAATTAACCCAGAGTGGTGCCCTGCCCTGATGTTTTGGATATAGGGTAATTACCCATCAGTATAGGAGTTGGAGAGTGTTTGTTTTGGGTTCAGGGGATCACTGAAATACACACTTGCAGTGTTAATTGGGAGTTGTTTTTTTATATATGGTGCTTGTGACACTTTTCTATATAAGTGTGTTTCACTTATATTTATATTCACTATAGAATATTGGCATGTGTATAGATACTCGTCTATAGAGTATACACACACTTATAAAGGATTTTGCATGCTGTGTGGCACGTGTGTTGTATTATGCAAAAGGTATGACACTATGTTAAGTTTTCTCTTCTTGAGGTGTACTGTCATCAGGATTTGAGGATATTGAGAAGGAGTGTTTTTTGATGAAAGAAGAAAGAAAATTATCATTTACACTTGTGGGGATCATTTTTTTGGATTATAAATTTTTGGATTATTTTTTTGGATTATTTTTTTGGATTATTTATTATTTTTGTAATTTTTGAATTTTGGACAATTTTTATGGTTTTATGTTTTTTATGTGGGTTTTATTTTATCTTTTTGTTTATTTGATTGTTTTAGGGAAAAGTTTTATTATTTTGTTTAATTAGCCTTCAAGGGTGGAGGTGGATAACTTTTCTGGGTTACTATAGGGTGACTTGTTGCTGTGTTTAAATTTAAATAACAGTGGCTAAATGGTTAGTTACTTCCACCTGGCAGTACTCGGGTTGTCGCTTCGAATTCCAACCACAGCACCTCCTTTTTTATTAAGTGCAGTTGCTTCAGATTTTAGTAAATGAGGTAAAGCTCCACTTTGCAAAGAATACCCAATCACGTACAAGGAAAGTAAAAGGAAACAGCATTTTTGCTTGCACATGATTGGCTCTGGAGCAATTGCACTTTGCAAAGTGCACAGTCTATTTGCCTTTAGTAAATCAACCCCATAGGATATATAAATACCTATAATATCATTGCAGCGCTAAAAATAACGATAATGGCAATATAAAGTGATAAGTGAAAAAAGCGCTAATAAGGAGCGCAATAAAATGATAATAGTGCGTCGTCCTGTATGACGAAAATCAGTGACATCAACGCACAACATAAACGTATAATAGTCCACAAATTGTTCTTCCTTAACCTCCCTAGCGGTATGATTATGTCAGTATTTCTGTGCTCAAAGCGGTATATTTTTTGCATGGAAATATGTATTTTTTTTATTGTAGGCTGTAATTTTTAGGAATAACTCACTGAAATCTGTCCGAACAAGAGTCTAGTAAACATCCCTGGTGGGTTAAAATTTTAAATGTATAATGGGCAGCACAGTGGCTAAATGGTTAGCACTTCCCCCTGACAGTACTCAGGTTGTTGGTTCACATCCCAACCATGGCACCACCTGCCTGGAGTTTGCATGTTCTCCCTGTGCCTGTGTGGGTTTCCTCCAGGTACTCCCAGTTTCCTCCGACACTCCAAAGACATGCTGGTAGGTTAATTGGCTCCTGTCTAAATTGGCCCCAGTATGTGTATGTATGAATATGAGTTAGGGACCTTAGATTGTACGCCCCTTGAGGGTTAGGGACCTTAGATTGTACGCCCCTTGAGGGTTAGGGACTGATATGAATATACAGTATGCAAAGCACTGCATAAATTGATGGCGCTATATAAGTACCTGTAATAAATAAATAGGAGCAGAAAAATAAATGCTCATAGGAGCTTATAAAAAAAACACTAGTGTGCATGGAGCTGACGGCTCCATGCACACTAGCATTTTTTTTTTTTAAGATCAATGTTGGATGAAAACACTGGTAATAGCAGTTTTTTAGTAGCATTTTAGAAGCATTTAGAAGTGTTTAGGAGCATTTAGGAGCATTAGCGTTTTATTAATGTTTTTAGGCTCCATTCACACTAGCGTTTTTTAAGCTCCTAGAAGCTGTTATCAGCATTTTTTTCTGCTCCTAGAAACCAGATAGTTTTATCCTATATGTCCATGCACATTATTTTAGGCTAGTAGCGTTTTTCAAGCTTCAGCATTTAGGTGCAGAAAAAAATGCTATACTCTCCTAAATGCTACTGAATGCTATTAAACCACTATGAACAGATTTTTTTTAGCTTTTTTTTAGCTTTTTATTTCCTACATGTACTGAAAAAACACATAAAAAATGCTAAGACTCCTAAACGCTGCTAAAAAAAACCCGCTATTACCAGTGTTTTTTATTCAGCGTTTTTTGAGCTTAAAATGCTAATGTGCGTGGAGGATTACAGTACATGTAGAAAAAAAAAAAACGAAAAAAAGCTGTTAGGAGCGTTTTAGTGGTGTTTAGGGGAGTTTAACATCTTTTTCTGCTTGAAAAACGCTCCAAAAAACTCTACAAAAACAAATTTTTTTCTTTCTGTTCCTAGAAGCTGAAGCTCACAAAATGCTAATTGCCTAAATGAGCATGTACGGAGACATAGGAGAACACTAGCTTCTAGGAGAAGAAAAAAAAACAAAAACTGATAACAGCTTCTAAGAGTTTAAAAAAAGCTAGTGTGCATGGAGCCTAAAAAAAAATGTTTTGTAAAACATAAAATGTGTCAAAAAATGCACACGTCACCTATTTCACTGGGAGTCAGGCAACCAGAAAACACACAAACAACACATCCATATGCATTATAAAAAAAATAAAAAATAAAAAAAAAAAATTTAAGTTTGCAAAAGCAAAAAAAAAAGAAAATTAGGAAGCATTTTTTTTAAATAAAATAACGTATGTACGATGTTTCTATGAAATACGCTGATCAGGGGCGGACTGACCATTTGGAAACTTGGGCACTGCCGAGGGCCCGGGGTCAGTAGGGGACAGGGGCGGACTGACCATTCAGGTACTCGGGCACTCGGATCAGTAGGGGGCCCCATGAGATGCCTCTGGTACCTTTTTCATAGGCTTGTTTGAGTGTGGGAGAGGACACAGGGGCCCCATGATCCCCTATTGCCCGGGGGGCCCCATGAGTTGTCAGTCCACCCCTGGTAGGGGGCCCCATGAGATGCCCCTGGTACCTTTTTCATAGGCTTTTTTGAGTTTGGCCAAGGACACAGTGGCCCCATGATCCCCTATTACCCAGGGGCCCCATGAGTTGTCAGTCCGCCTCTGACACTGATGAATGTGCAAATGTGAATTCCTTAAAAACAGACTCACCTGGTGCCACAAGACCTGCAATGAGGTACAGGACAGCAAAGAATGAATTCATGGTGAAAGGTAACAGGCAAGGATGCCCCAGAAATGATGCAGGCTCGTTTATACAAAGGTGATCAATAATTAACTTCAGTGAAATGATAAGAGCATCTGATAAACTATCAAACGGTACTTTATGAGGTCAAAAGTTTCACTCAAATAATCATTCAGTTTTCTTCTCCATATGTCGGATTCAGGGGGTGTTTTTTTACACACAGGGCGTTTTTTGCAACGACCAGGGGCGGACTGATCATTTGGAAACTCGGGCACTGCCCGAGAGACGGGGTCAGTAGGGGGCCCCATGAGATGCCCCTGGTACCTTTTTCATAGGCTTTTCTGAGTTTGGCCAAGGACACAGGGGCCCCATGATCCCCTATTGCCCGGGGGCCCCATGAGTTGTCAGTCCGCCCCTGGCAACGACTTTTAGGAGCGTCAGGCATTTTTTGGTTTTTTTTTTTACAGGCTTCCAAGCACCCCTCCATGTTATCCTATGGGGTCATTTCCCAGCAGGAATTTTTACTAATTTTAATATACATTTACATGTTACTGGCTTACCAATTTTATTGATATGCTGATTGGACTGAGCTGTTTTATATGCTTAACCATTGGCTAAAATAAAAATACTACACAATATTGGATTTTTTTCTGGTGACTTATTCATGGAGCTACTATCAGGTGGATATCCAGTATTGCCGATGTGAATGGACAATATATATATGCAAAGCGCGTAGTGGTCCTGTCTAAAAAATTAATAGATAGAACATTGGGGAACTGGAGAAAGCACATAGAAGGGCAACCAAACTGATAAGAGGCATGGAGGAGCTCAGCTATAAGGAAAGATCAGAGGAACTGAATTTATTGTCTCTTGAGAAGAGGAGATTAAGAGGGGATATGATCTCCATGTATAATACATAAGGGGGGTATGATCACCATGTATAATACATAAGAGGGGATATGATCTCCATGTATAATACATAAGGGGGGGATATGATCTCCATGTATAATACATAAGGGGGGGATATGATCTCCATGTATAATACATAAGGGGGGATATGATCTCCATGTATAATACATAAGGGGGGATATGATCTCCATGTATAATACATAAGGGGGATATGATCTCCATGTATAATACATAAGGGGGGTATGATCACCATGTATAATACATAAGGGGGATATGATCTCCATGTATAATAGATAAGGGGGATATGATCACCGTGTATAATACATAAGGGGGGATATGATCTCCATGTATAATACATAAGGGGGGAATATGATCTCCATGTATAATACATAAGGGGGGAATATGATCTCCATGTATAATACATAAGGGGGGATATGATCTCCATGTATAATACATAAGGGGGGATATGATCTCCATGTATAATACATAAGGGGGGAATATGATCACCATGTATAATACATAAGGGGGGGTATGATCTCCATGTATAATACATAAGGGGGGATATGATCTCCATGTATAATACATAAGGGGGGGTGGTATGATCTCCATGTATAATACATAAGGGGGATATGATCACCATGTATAATACATAAGGGGGGGATATGATCACCATGTATAATACATAAGGGGGGGATATGATCTCCATGTATAATACATAAGGGGGGGATATGATCTCCATGTATAATATATAAGGGGGGGATATGATCTCCATGTATAATACATAAGGGGGGATATGATCACCATGTATAATACATAAGGGGGGGGGATATGATCTCCATGTATAATACATAAGGTGGATATGATCTCCATGTATAATACATAAGGGGGATATGATCTCTAAGTATAATACATAAGGGGGGATATGATCTCCATGTATAATACATAAGGGGGGGACATGATCTCCATGTATAATACATAAGGGGGATATGATCTCTAAGTATAATACATAAGGGGGGGGTATGATCTCCATGTATATTACATAAGGGGGGATATGATCTCCATGTATAATATATAAGGGGGGGTATGATCTCCATGTATATTACATAAGGGGGATATGATCACCATGTATAATACATAAGGGGGGATATGATCTCCATGTATAATACATAAGGGGGGGATATGATCTCCATGTATAATACATAAGGGGGGATATGATCTCCATGTATAATACATAAGGGGGGATATGATCTCCATGTATAATACATAAGGGGGGGTATGATCACCATGTATAATACATAAGGGGAGGATATGATCTCCATGTATAATACATAAGGGGGGATATGATCTCCATGTATAATACATAAGGGGGGGTATGATCATCATGTATAATACATAAGGGGGGATATGATCCCCATGTATAATACAAAAAGGGGGGGATTTGATCTCCATGTATAATACATAAGGGGGGATATGATCTCCATGTATAATACATAAGGGGGGGATATGATCTCCATGTATAATACATAAGGGGGATATGATCTCCATGTATAATACATAAGGGGGGGGATATGATCTCCATGTATAATACATAAGGGGGATATGATCTCCATGTATAATACATAAGGGGGGATATGATCTCCATGTATAATACATAAGGGGGGGGTATGGTCTCCATGTATAAATACATCAATGGTTCATATAGTGAACTCGGTGTAGAGTTATTCCCCCTGAGGTCATCACAGAGGACAAGGGGGCGCTCTTTACGTCTGGAGGAAAAGACATTTAATCTCCCAATACAGAAAGGTTTCTTCACCATAAGAGCTGTGAAAATGTGGAATAGACTCCCTCAAGAGTTGGTTGTGGCCAGCTCAGTGGATTGCTGTAGGAAAGTCCTGGATTCTTTCTTGGATACACAGAATATAACTGGATATAACATTTATAGGTAAAGTTGATCCAGTAAATATCTGATTGCCTCATGGGGGATCAGGAAGGAATTGTTTTTCCCAGCAGGAACAAATTGGATCGTGCTTTGCTGGGCTTTCTGCCTTCCTCTGGATCAACTATGGGTGTAGGATTATAACTTTTTTTTTTTTTTTATGGTTGAACTGGATGGACTTTAGTCTTTATTCAGCCAGACTAACTATGTAACTATGTACTAAAAGAAATCAAAAGTATGTTACAAAGAACAATATTTACAGACTTCTATCTTTATGATTTACAGTAAGTGACAAGAGACTTGCTGTGTAGCAGAAAAGTAATAATTTGTGCAATAAGTAAAGCTACATACAGCACAGTACTAAAGAAATACAAGCCATGCTGGTCACTTACATTGAAATCTGAAGGTACGAATTATGCCGTATATACTGCACCCCATAAGATGCCTCGTGTTCATAAACTTAGATAATATTGTACTAAACACTCATTGCTAAAAAAAAAAAGAAATCATTAGCCCTAAACAGATTGTAATTCTGGCCACAACAGAATTATTTTTTTTTTTTTCTGCCAATTAATTTGCATTATTCAATCTAAACTTTAACCCCTCGCCTACCGGGCACTTATACCCCCTTCCAGTCCAGGCCAATTTCCAGCTTTCAGCGCTGTCACGCTTTGAATGACAATTGCGCGGTCATGCAACACTGTACCCATATGAAATTTTTAGCATTTTTTTTTAGACAGATAGAGCTTTCTTTTGGTGGTATTTAATCACCTCTGGGATTTTTATTTTTTTCTTAAAACAAACCAAAAACTACTGAAAATTGTGAAAAAAAACCCTTTTTTTTCTTAGTTTTTGTTATACAGTTTTGTAAATAAGTGATTTTTCTCCTTCACTGATGTGCGCTAATGAGGCTGCACTAATGGGCACTGATAGGCTGCACTGATGGACACTGATAGGCTGCACTGATGGACACTGATAGGTGGCACTGATGGACACTGATGAGGAGGCACTGGTAGGTTTCACTGATGGGCATTGACAGGCATCACTGATGGGCACTGAAAGGCAGCACTGATACATGACACTGATACATGACACTGATATATGGCACTGATAGGCAGCACTGACTGGCACTGATAGGCGGCACTGACTGGCACTGATAGGCGGCACTGACTGGCACTGATAGGCGGCACTGACTGGCACTGATGCGCACTGATAGGTGACACTGACTGGCACTGATAGGTGGCACTGATTGGCAGCCCTGATAGGTGGCACTGATTGGCATTGATAGGTGGCACTGACTGGCACTGATGGGTGACATTGAAAAGCAGCTCAGATGGGCACTGATATGTGGCATTGATGTGTACTGGTATGCACTGATATGTGGCATTGATGTGGCACTGATGTGCACTGGCACGTGGAACTGATGAGCACTGACAGGTGGCACTTCTGGGGCCACACTGATCATCAGGGCACACTGATAATCAGTGTCCTGATGATCAGTGTACATGTCCCCTCTGCGGAAAGCCGATTACAGCTCAAGAGGAGAGAAATGCTGATAACCGGCATTTCCGTGTTTACATGTGATCAGCTGTGATTGGACACAGCTGATCACATGACCGAGCCTACATCTTCGGCTCTTTCCGTGATCCGCTGTGTCCGAGGGACACAGCGCACCGGCGAACCACAGCGCTGCACGCTGCCTGAGTCGCGCATGTCTCTCAATCCAAGAGCACTACTGAGTGCCATTTCTGTCTGCTGCCTCCTTCCTCTGCTATCAGTATGAGTCACTTCTGACCAAGAGAAAAATGGTGACAGGGTAGGGAGCTCCAGCTGATCAACAGCCTCAGATCTGTTCCTGTGAGCTGTGTGAAGGGGGGAGGTGTGTCTCTGTTTCCTCCAATCAGCTCTCAGACCTCTCCTCACTGAGCTCTGCTGTGTGTAATTTCCACTCTCTTACCCCTTTTTTCTGAAGGCTCAGACAAGCTTTATAAATTCTGGATTTTGAAAGGATGTAGAGAAGAGAAAACTGCAGATACGTACAACTTATGTAGGAGGATTTCTTTCATCACTTTTTATCACCTGAGGCCAGTCACTTCGCTGGGTATATGGAAGGGTTTACAACCATTTTAATGCATTTTTTGAATTAAGGAAAAAAAAAAAACATTCAGTATGCAGCTATCCCCCCCCCCCCCCCCAATACTTATCTGAGGTCAACCTTGATCCAGTGATGTGCACAAGAGCAGACGGAGGCTTGATCCGCTCTCTCCCTCTTCATTGGCTTAGACACAACAGAGAGAGCCATTGGCTCCTGCTGCTGTCAATCATAGCCTGTGGGGAGACAGCGGGGGTGGGGCCAAACCATGCTATGTGTGTCTTATGGACTCACAGAGGCTGGCTCAGGAGTGAGCAAGTATGAGAGAGGCTTGCTAATGTGGCCCTTTGGCATGGGGGAGGGGCCAAAACGAATGGACTCAAATTGCATTGCACGGAATCTCACATAGTAGTGTGGTGCGGTTCCTGTGCGATTCACCTGCGAACTATAGTGTGAACGGGGCTTAGGCAAGTATACACTATAGAAGGATAATTTTGTAAAAGATGGTGTAGTACTGTATGTGCTATAATTAAATTAAATAATGTACAATCATATTATTATGAATAAATAATATAACCCTGTGTATACTCATTAACTTAATAGAATTATAAGGTGCAGTATAATCCAAAAAATAGATAATAATTGCAATCAAAGTGACCAAATATTACACCGTGACATACATAAATTGCAAAAAGTCCCAAACAACTGAAAAAATTAAATTTGCACAAAAAATTAAAATAAAAAACAAAAAATAAAAAATAAAAATAAAAAAATATATAATATCTAGATTTTTCAATTCTTCAACTTTATATTGCGTGTGCTCATTAAAATGGTGCCAAATCTATCGTTCACCTTCTGGTGTGTGCGCTCATGTCACAAATTCGACCCTCAAGGAGTCATAGAGCAATCAATATCACCGGGTGATCCCAGGCTGGATGGATCTCTGCCTTTGAATGGACACAGGAACAGCTCCCACCGAAATCAAACAAACGGTCAAACACACCTTTAAGGGGTCTTCAATGGCTCAAAAAGAAGTCAGAAATAGAACTTCCAAAGTGTAGTAATTATGATATTTATTGGAAAAAATTTAATTGCACAAACAATTGCAAAAAAATAAAAAATAAATAAAAAATATATATATAAAACACGGAGATGTGAACCTGTCCCATAGGAAGTCATGTTAAATGGACTGTAGTGAGTTTCTGCAAAATGCAAAACGCTGCAGAAAACGCTTAGGTGTGAACCTGGGGCAAATTGTCCCTAGTATGTGTATGTATGAATGTGAGTTAGGGACCTTAGATTGCACGCTCCTCGGGGGCGGGGACTGATGTGAATGTACAATATATATGTAAAGCACTGCATAAATTGACAGCGCTATAGAAGTACCTGAAATAATATTGAAAACCATTTTAAAATCAATGTCCCTATACATCTATATATAACATAAGATATTATTTCACATCAAAGTGGGTTATCTCTTTGCTGGAGCAATCTTCAGTCAATTATATTCATATCCTCATTAACATATAAATGTATCTGTTCCATAAGCTCAACGCGTTTCTTAGAAATGAACTTCACTTCATCAGGAGCTATAGATAAAAGTGATGGATGACCTACGTCTGATTCTTTGCCTATGTATTGCTATGTATTTTTTTGTTTGCTGTATGTGTATTACCTCCTATTGTATTTCCGACTGATACCTTGTATTACCTGTACCTATTGTATGCTCTGAGTTTATTAATAAACTTTATGGAAAAAAAAAAAAAAGTGATGATTGTTGTTCTAAATATAAAGGACATAATTACCAAAAAATACATAATTGCCAAATGTTTAATATTTCAGCAAATAGATCTATATAGTCACCCAGATGTGAACCATATCCGAAGAAGTCTGAGCAAATTCTAATTGGGGAGGCAGAAAAGGAGAGGAAAACCACAATGACACCAACGCTCAAGGCAAAAACACACATGAAAGGGGACTGGTTATAGATAGATGAGTAATATACATCTATAATGGGGGCATCATTCTGTAAAGTGAGCATACAGATAATTATTAGAAGATGATTCCTAAAGATATATATATATACTGCTCACAAATAATTAAAGGAACACTTTGTAATCAGAGTCTAGCATCAAGTCAATGAAGCTCCTGGGATATTGATCTGGTCAGGTAAGTAGCAGAGGGGGTTGTTCATCAGTTTCAGCTGCTTTGGTGCTAATGAAATTAGCAACAGGTGCACTAGATGGGCAACAATGAAACGGCCCCCAAAACACGAATGGTGGTTACAGGTGGAGGAAACTGGCATTTTTTTCCCTGCTCATCTTTTCTGGCTGTTTTTCACTAGTAGGGTCAGTGTCACTACTGGTAGCATGAGGCCATACCTGGACCCTACAGACGTTGCACAGGCAGTCCAACTCCTCCAGGATGGCCCATCAATATGTGCCATTGCCAGAAGGTTTGCTGTGTCTTCCAGCACAGTGTCAAGAGCAAGGAGGAGATTTCAGGAGACAGGCAGTTACTCTAGGGGGGCTGGACAGGGCCATAGAAGGTTCTTAACCCATCAGCAGGACCGGTGTCTGCTCCTTTGTGCAAGGAGGAACAGGATGAGCACTGCCAGAGCCCTACAAAATGACCTCCCAGGCCACTGCCACTGGTGTGAATGGCTGACCAAACAATCTGAAACAGACTTCATGAAGGTGACTTGAGGGCCCGACATCCTCTAGTGTGCCCTGTGCTCACTGCCCGGCACCATAGAGCTGGATTGGCATTTGCCATTGAACACAGAATTGGGAGGTCCACCACTGGCACCCTGTGCTTTTCACAGATGAGAGCAGGTTCACCCTGAGCACATGTGGCAGACGTGAAAGGGTCTGGAGAAGCTGTGGAGAACGTTCTGCTGCCTGTAACATGGTTCAGCATGACCGTTCTGGTGGTGGGTCAGTGATGGTCTGGGGAGGCATATCCATGGAGGGACGCACACACCTCTACAGGCTAGACAATGGCACCCTGACTGCCATTAGGTATCGGGATGAAATCCTTGGACCCATTGTCAGACCCTACACTGGTGCAGGGTCCTCCTGGGTTCCTCCTGGTGCACGACAATGACCGGCCTCATGTAGCGATTGTATGCAGGCAGTTCCAAGCATTCATATATAAATATATATATATTTATATATATATACTGTATTGCCAAAAGTATTGGGCCGCCTGCCTTTCCACGCACATGAACTTTAATGGCCCCCCAGTTTTAGTCCATAGGGTTCAATATTGAGTTGGCCCCGCCCCTTTGCAGCTATAACAGCTTCACCTCTTCTGGGAAGGCCGTCCACAAGGTTTAGGAGGGTGTCTATGGGAAGGTTGGACCATTCTTCCAGAAGCACATTTGTCAGGTCAAGCACTGATGTCGGGGGAGGAGGCCTGGCTCGCAGTCTCCACTCTAATTCATCCAAAGGTGTTCTGTGGGGTTGAGGTCAGGACACTGTGCAGGACAGTCAAGTTCCTCCACCCCAAACTGGCTCCTCCATGCCTTTATGCATTTTGCTTTGTGCAGTCATGTTGGAACAGGAAGGGGTCATCCCCAAACTGTTCCCCCACAAAGTTTGGAGCATGAAATTGTCCAAAATGTCTTGGTATGCTGACGCCTTAAGAGTTCCCTTCACTGGAACTAGGGGCCAAGCTCAACCCCTGAAAAAAACAACCCCACACCATAATCCCCCCTCTACCAAACTTTACACAATGCAGCCAGGCAAGTACCGTTCTCCTGGCAGCCGCCAAACCCAGACATGGCCATTGCCAGACAGAGAAGTGTGATTGGTCACTCCAGAGAACACATCTCCTCTGCTCTAGAGTCCAGATTTTATGCAGGTTTATGCTTCATTTTTAGCTGGCAAAGGTAAAGAATTACAGTGCCTTGAAAAAGTATTCATACCCCTTGAAATATTCCACATTTTGTCATGTTACAACCAAAAACATTGATGCATTTTATCAATCTGACAGAGCTTGGGCTATTTTGCAAAGAAAAATGAGCAAAAATTTTACTCTCTGGATGTGCAAAGCTGGTAGAGACATGCAGCTGGAATTGCAGCGAAAGGGGGTTCTACAAAGTATTGACTCCGGGGGGGGGGGGGCTGAATACAAATGCCGCCACACTTTTCACAGATTTATTTGTACAAAATGTTGAAAACCATTTCTCATTTTCCTTCCACTTCACAATTATGTGCCACAAAAGTTCAAGGGGTATGAAGACTTTTTCACGGCACTGAATATACTACAGTAGATAAGTATATCTGATATTAATATCTTCTGTGATCCATAAATGTTTACAGTGCAGGTCAACGTTCAATACTTATCTATACATTTATGGCATTCTTTGTCTATTTTAGTTGTGATTACAGCCTGGAAAACCTCACCCGCTTCCTCCACTCCTATATGGAATTTGTACAATGGCCCGCCATTTTCAGAACGTGACTTTATCCTGAATGGGCAGGGGCGATGATATTTCTTTGAAGCGGTAATAAACCACCACAAATACCAGCCAATGAGGGGGGAGAGAGCAGAGCAAGCCTCTGTCTGCT